TCGCCATGAGCAGTTGCTGTGTTTGGGCCTCAGTTTCCAGGCCTGTTGCCGTCCTGGGCCTCACAGGAAGTTGGGGATGTGCACCGAGGTTAGGCTTGGCCGGCCTCAGCCCAGACACCGCCCCTTGGCGGCCTGCACTCCGGAGGGTGGACCCGGAGGGGACGGTCAGCCCGCAGCCGGCTTCCAGGCACGGGAGCGCCCCTCGGAAGGCCTCCCGCAGCCAGCAGCCCCCGCCCTCCACGCAGGAGATCGGGCGCATCTCCATTGAGATGAACGGGACGCTGGAGGACCAGCTGAGCCACCTGAAGCGGTACGAGCGCAGCATCGTGGACTACAAGCCGAACCTCGACCTGCTGGAGCAGCAGCACCAGCTCATCCAGGAGGCCCTCATCTTCGACAACAAGCACACCAACTACACCATGGAGGTGAGGCCTGCCCGGTGCCCGTGCCGGGGTCGCCGTGGCCGCGCAGGCCCGGCCTCAGGGCCAGTCGGGTGTGGCCCAGTAGGAGAGGCGCCTGCCGCTTTCTCTCTCCTTTCTGTCCCTCTGAGCCTAAAGACTAGATCAAATGTTAACACGTTTCTAAGAAATCCGTTCCCGCTGTTACTTCCATCGCTGTGACAGCACGGCGTCGGGACACGCTCCTCGGAGAGCTGGGAGGGGGTGCAGCCCCTCCCCCCCATGGCCTCGTCCTTGCTGGGGGACACAGATGCGTGCGGGCACCCACTCGCTGTGGCCAGACTGACATGTCGGGGCTGGCTGGCAGCCTGATCTCATCCACCGTGACACCTCATGCCGTCCAAGGGCACTGATACCAGAGAGAAACCCGGGTCCCCCCCACGCTGAGAGCCATTTAAACATGCTGCCCTACCCCAGTGGTCTGCGTGCCGTTACCCTGCTGCAGGGCAGAGGCAGGCAGGGGAGCATGGGGCTGGGTTGGCATTTGGGAGAGAGTCTAGGCCAGACACACACCGCGTGCGAGGAGAGTCCCTAGTGGCAGTGGACCCCGCACTGGCCGGCCCGCGCTCATGCCCTCGCTCTGCCCCCAGCACATCCGCGTGGGCTGGGAGCAGCTGCTCACCACCATCGCCCGCACCATCAACGAGGTCGAGAACCAGATCCTCACCCGTGATGCCAAGGGCATCAGCCAGGAGCAGATGCAGGAGTTCCGGGCCTCCTTCAACCACTTCGACAAGGTGAGTGGCTCCCTCTGCCCCTGGCATCTTCCCTCCCCACTGTCATCGTCCCATCCTGCCACCTCCGTCTTTGCATCTGTTTGTTCACCTCACAGTGCTGAGTACCGGCCACTGCTCGCCGGGCCGGCAGGGCCCCAGCTGCTGAAGTGGGTGCACAGGGCCATCACCTTGACCTGCGGCCTGGGCATTTGTCCTTGGGAGGAGAAAGTTGGCAGCGGGGGCGGGGGGGTGGTGGTTCTAAATTCTGCCCCTGTGGCCATGTATCCTCGCCAATCTACCACTGAGACCCCGGGACAGCCTGAGGTACGGCACACCTGAGATTTGTGCGCTGCTCATGCATCGGGTCCGCGGGTCTGCTGAGCACTGTAAAGATTCAGAAGGCCGGCTCCAGTCTGGCGGGCCCACTAGGAAGGCCCTGAGCACCTGAGTTTGCTGCAGTCCCCACCCACCCTGCGGGGCCCGACTGGCCATCTGCTGGCCCCCTGTGGGCGAGAGTATGCGTGCTCAGCTCCACAGTCAGCCAGGGCCCCTGGTGTCCCAGATAGGACAGGTTGTAGTCTCCCACCCCAAATCCTGGAGGCAGGGAGAGCTCCCCGTTCCCTCCCCGGAGCCTTGGGCCTCAGTCCTCCATTCTGTACCGCTCAGCTCCCACCCCGGCTCTGGCCAAGGCGTTGGGCAGGCCTCTGCTCCCCCATACCCAGCCATCCCCTTGTCCATGTCCCCTCTAACTCTGTGTTTCCCCCGATGTGTTCCCCTCGCCCTGCCCTCTGCATGTGACCCTGGCCCCTCTCCCCACGTCTCCACGCTGGCCTGGTCTCCACACCGCCCCTCGCACACACCTGCCTTCGGATGCCCGGCAGGACCACGGCGGGGCGCTGGGGCCGGAGGAGTTCAAGGCCTGCCTCATCAGCCTGGGCTACGACGTGGAGAATGATCGGCAGGTACGCGCCCCCCTGGGCCCCAGCGGACTGTGGCATTAACTGCTCTTCTTTCTCTCTCTCCTTCTCTCTGTCTCCCCTCCCTCTCGCCATTCCACCCCTTGCCATGTGTGTGCCATTTCACTGGCTCTCTTGCCTCCTCCCTGCCCTGTGTCTCTCTGGACACCTTCCCCCTTACCTGGTCTCTCGGGGCCGCCTCTGTCTCCCCGGCTCCCGCCACTGTCCTGTTTCCCTGCTGTGCACATGGGGCGGCCCCTCTTGCCTACTCTGGGCCTGGCCTCCTCTGCTGTCCCTGCGTCCTCGAGCAGAAGCAGACAGGCAGCATGGACTCCGATGACTTCAGGGCTCTGCTTATCTCCACAGGATACAGCCTGGTATGCAGCCTCTGCCTCCCCCTCGCTGCTCTGCCTCTCCTCCTCCCCCCACCCTCGCGCAGCCTCCCCCTTCCTCCTCACCGCCGCCGCCTCCTCCTCGGGGATCCTCCCCCAGCAGAGCAGGGCAGCCTTGCTGCCTTCTCCTCCACCTGTGCTGCTGTTGCTGGGCCGGGGTCTCTCCGACGACCCCCTGAGCCACCCACCTCCTTTCCTGGAAGTCTCCCGAGAGAGGAGGTCAGGCCTCTGGCTCCCTCCCCTTTTTCTTTCTCTTTCTCTCTTTTCTTTCTTCCCCACCCTCCAGAGCCAAGTCATGAGCCTAGGGCTGAGGAGCAGTAGACCTATTTGATCCATTCCCCAACTCCCCACTTCCCAAAAACGTGGGTGGGAAGGAGCAGAGGGAGCACATCCCCAATCTGGGCAAGTGGGGCCCTGAGCCTGGGGAAGCTGAAACCCCTGGAGGCATGTGCCCTGGGGCCGGGCCCTGCTCTCCTGCTCAGTGGGGACAGCACCCAACCGGGCCACGCGCGGCTGTCCCAGCCCACTCAGGTGCTGCCTGTGCCTCGCCCCGCTCCCCCTCGCAGGGTGATGCCGAGTTCAACCGCATCATGAGTGTGGTTGACCCTAACCACAGCGGCCTCGTGACCTTCCAAGCCTTCATTGACTTCATGTCAAGGGAGACCACCGACACAGACACTGCCGACCAGGTCATCGCCTCCTTCAAGGTCCTGGCAGGGGACAAGGTAAGCAGTGTACCTCAGCGGCACCCTGGGGCTCGGCCCGGAGAAGCCCTGGCAGCCAGGACTGGGCTGGTGGGGGTGGCCCACAGTCACACCCTGCCGCCCCCAGAACTTCATCACGGCTGAGGAGCTGCGGAGGGAGCTGCCCCCGGACCAGGCCGAGTACTGCATCGCTCGCATGGCGCCCTACCAGGGTCCTGACGCCGTGCCCGGGGCCCTCGACTACAAGTCCTTCTCGACAGCGCTGTATGGCGAGAGTGACCTGTGAGGCTCCCCGCTGGAGAAACCCTGACCGAACCCCCGTCCTCGCAGCCTCCAGGAGGGGCTGGGGGAGTCCTCGGCCCTTCTCCCCGCTGTGGGGGCCTCCCAGGTCCTGTTTTTCTGACTCTGTATCTATGCAAAGCGCTCTGTCAGTCTTCTCTGGGGGTGGGGGGTGGGCAGGGAGGGGCTGGGGCAGGCTCTCCCCTCTCTCCGTCAGTCGGCCCCCTCCCCCTGGATGGGGGTGAGGGAGACCTTCAGGGTCCACGCTTCTGGTCTGGTAAATGTCTAAGACGTGTTGTTTTGTTTTATAACTATGTGGAGGAGACAGTGGATTCCCACAGCGAAACAGGTCACCTCCAGGCCCTAGGAATGCCCTCCACACCTTGTCCCTCCTTTGCCCACCCCTCCCCTGCTCCCCACGAGGTCCCTTCAAGGCCTCCCACATCTAGGCCAAAGCCCTATGTGCCTTGTTCAGGAACCGCCCTGGCCTGCGGTGGGCCCTGCAGGGGGGCCCAGCAGAGGGCGAAGCAGCTGCCTGACAGGAAAGAGGACCCCACCCCCTCCCTTCTTCCCTTCTTCCCAACTTGCAGTTGCCAGGAGTTGGGGGGGGGTGCAACTCCGCACCTCCTTTTTCTGCAACAGGAGTAGGGTTGGCAGACCAGCCTCTCAGCCCCAGCCGGTCCCCCACCTTGCTTTGTCCGGACCTGTGTTTCCGATTTTTTAAGGACCAAAAAAACAAAACAAAAAAAAACACAAAACAACAAACAAAAAATCCACAAAAAAAAAAAAAAAACTATAAAAAAAGGAATTAAAAACTTTCAGAGAATTACTATTTACTTTATTAACTTACGGATTTATTATATAAATATATATTCACCTAGCAACATATCCTTGCCGCCTCTTGCTCTCATAATGAAGACGTAGCTGATTTGCTGCCCTCCCCCAGCCCCTCACTGATTGTTCTCTGTTGTCTGTCGTTGGGCATGGGTCTCTGGGGACCCTCCTGAGGTGGAGGGTGGGCTGCCGGCCTGGCTGCCTGTTAGTTGATGGGTTTTGCTCCCTTCCCCTTCCCCCCTTTTTTGAGTTTATTCTGATTTTTTTTTTCTCGGTTTCTGGATAAACCACCCTCTGGGGACAGGATAATAAAACATGTAATATTTTTAAGAAGGATTCCTACTGTGTTCTCTCTCTTTCTCTCTCCTCTGTTCTCCGCTTCTTAGGAGAGCCACGGGAGAACCTCTTCCCAGAGCAAGGCTGGGCAAGGGAGATCCCTGTCCCCCCGGAAGTGTGTAAACCTCAGTGCCACAGGGGACCCGCTTGAGGCCAGGCGCTGTTTCCAGTGCTAACTAGTGTGGCCTGCACCAGAAAAGGGCTGGGACCGTCCCTGCTTATAGGTGAGGAGGGCAGAGCACGGAGGAGGCAGGGACCCGCCTGGCCGAGTGGTGGGGCCAGACCTTGCCCCCCCGTCCCCCGCCGGCTCCCGGGGCAGCAGAGCAGCAGACCCATGTGCCAGGTGGAGGGGTCGGTGTGGCTCAGACCCCCGCCCTGTGGAACAAAGCCCAGTCCAGGCTGGGCGAGGAGAACGGGCTCCTGGCAGCGCTTCGCCTCGAGCCACAGGGGTCCGTGCGGAGATCCTACGAGAAGGTGGCCACCTCCATCCACTGGGGGAGAAAAGACCCCTGGCTTGAGGCAGGGCTTTCCCGGGACTCCCGCCTGGCCCCCCGAGCCCCCCAGCCTCAGCTCACCTGTCTGCGGGTCAGGCAGACTACCCCCTCGCCTCCATCCAGGTGCCGGCTGCAGTGTCCTGCGCAGAGTGGGCGGGTTGAGCGACGCCCACCGCCCCCCCCCCCCCCCCCCCCGCTCGTGGGAGTCCGTCCGCCCCGCCCCACCCCCACCCCCACCCCACCACGGGCAGCACTCACGGAAGATGCAGGTGAGCTGGGCCGCACAGGACACGAAGCGCTCGAAGTCCACGCGCAGACGGCTGTCCCGGTAGCGGCTTGTGAGGGCCTGGGTCAGCTGGTTGTTGAGGTGGAAGCCTAGGGCAGGTGGCCTGTGAGCCCCCCAGGGGGCCTGTTTCCCCCTGGGGCAGCTCCCTTCACGCCTCCGCCTCCACGCTCCGTTTCCAAACGGGACAGCCCTGACCCCACCAGGCCGGGACGCCATTAGATGGGGGGATTGCCCGGCGCCCGGCCTGAGCCCCTGTACAGACACTGGAGGAATTTCCGGGCCCCCGGACATGTGTGTCGGCCCCATGTGGAGTCCGTAGCTTCACATCAGACCATTTCTGGACTTGAGAAATCACCTCTGACAAGAAATCGCAACAGGCCTTCAAAAGCCAGAAACAGCGGCTCCTCCTCCGAGGCCCTGCAGGACTCCGGCTGCAGGATGGCCCCCCTGACCCCATGTCCAGATCCGCGGTTCTGAGGACAAGGTCCTGGCTTCCGCTGCCGCCTCAAACCTACCTGTGCCCTGCTCTGTGCCTACATCTGCTATTAGGTCTTTGTCTCGTCTGTGCCTTGTTCTAGCTGCTGGGGGCCAGCCCGGGGCCGGGGGTCGGGGGAGCCCGAGGCCCGCAGCCCTGCCTTAGCCCCGTGACCTCCCGGGCCCTCCATTCCGAGTCAGGCCCAGAAGCCCCCAGCTGCCGCCTCAGATGCAGCTTTTCCGACCACTCTCAGCGCCCCCGGTGCGGGCTCCTGGCTGGGATCCTCCGGTATCCAGGAAATCCCTCACCTGGTTTAGTACGTCCTGGTGACTGTGACTCCTGGCTACCCTTCCCCACAGGCCCCATTGTCCTTAGCCGGCTGCTGGCCTGTGCAGACCACACCTCACCCACCCCTCCCCTGACTCCTGCACTTGGACCTTGGGCTCCATCTTGCCTCCCTTGCCCATGATGTTCCTTCTGCCCAGAGCACTGCTACTCCTCTCACCCTGCCGCCTTTGGGAAGCCTCCAAGCAGGGGAGCGCCCCCGCTCTTCACCTGCAGCCCCAGTGCCCGCCCTGACGCCTCTGAGCGGTCACTGTCCTTGGTGGCCCGGAAGCCGAGGGAGGGCGAGGGAGGGAAGGGCGGGATCTCTGGCTCCCGGCGAATCCCCAGCCTCAGCCAGCACAGCCAGGAGCAGAGCCGGGGTTTGGGGGGAGGCGGGTGGTGCAGAGCGTGGCTGAGGGGCGGCAGGTCATCTTTGCCGGTCCCCTGTCCTGATCTGTCCTCCACTTCCAGGGCTCTGGAGCTTGCTTCCTGCTGATCTGCTCCCTGGTCCTCCCTCTTACACAGTGTGACCCTGTCGGCTCTGGCCCTCCTCACACCCTGACGCTGGACCTGCCTCACCCTCCTCCCTCTCGTACATATTAAAGAAAAAAATTTGTTTTAAAGACCCTAGATGCTCATGAGACCTCATGGGGCTTTACTGCCTCCCTCCAGTGATCTCTGATCTGTGACCACCCTCCGTCCTCCAGCCGCACTAGCCCGTCCTCATTTCCGAGACCTGGCCCCCCGGAAGCTGTTCCAGCGGGGCCCATGCTCTCACCTCAGGGCCTTTGTACTGGCTGTTCCTTCTGTCAAGACTACACCTGCCACTGTGTCTCAGTCCCCCTCCAGGTCTGCTCAAACAGCACCTGGGTCCTTCCCTGAGCACTGTGGCTCCGGCCACAAGCCCCTCCCCCACCCCCCCTTCTCTTTCTTCCACAGCTGCACCATCTGACCCAGACATTCTGCTTGTCTATCTGTCTGTACTGCCAGGATGCCACCCCCCTCTAAGAGCACTTCCTCAGTCTCCTGCCTGGAAGAATGCCAAGAATGTGCGCCAGGTGCCCAGTAACCCCGACAAGTGGTGCCAGCTTTTCATCTGCCCTCACCCTCTTGCCTCTACTTCTGAGCACCTGTGACTCCGTGTCAGCCCGTGTGCCACACCTCCCAACATTCTCGCTCCCTCGGGGCCTCCTGCCTCTCAGATTGGGGAACAGCCAGGCAGCAGCCTCCCACCTCCCCTTGTCGGAGGAGCCCTGGAGTGGGGGCTGAGGGTCTGGGAGTCCCCTCCATGCATGGACTCAACTTGCTAGGGAGCCCAGGAAAAGCTTTGCTCCCTGGCTCCGCCCCCTGGGGAGGATTTTGTGCCACACAGACGGAGGGGACTGTCCTACCTCCTTTCCGAAACCCTTCAGCGGGGGGGGGGGGGGGGGGTGCCCTCCGGGCCCTCTGCACACAGTCCGGAGCTGTGTTCTTGCACCACCACCACCTCCACCACCCCCTGCCCCTGGCCCCGGCAAGAGCTGGTAACGAACTACGTGGGCTTCGAGACTGGCAGTGGGTGAGCAGAGCACAGAGCATAGGAGGGGGAGCAGATCCCGTCCCCAGACACCCACCCCCACCCCCGCCGTACCTGCTGCATTCAGTGCCAGCCTCAGCTCATAGGAGTTCATGGTTCCAGAGGCGTCCTCATCGAACTTGTCGAATGTGGCCTGGGTCGGGAGCTATAGGTCAGTCCCAACCCCTGGCCCTCCCTAGGAGGCCAGTCAGCCTGGGTTCCCACCCCAGCTCCCTTTCTTCCTGGCTTGGTGCCCCAGGCAAGCAGCTCTGCCTCTCTGAGCCCGTCTCACAGTCTCTAAAATGGGAATAATAGTAACAGCTAGAATAGGGTCATGAGGACAAGCTGAGTGTCTACCCACGAGGGGCTTTGTGAGGGCTCAGCAAACAGCGGCTTACTGCTCACCAGTACAGGGAGGCTTGGACCCTTTCCTCCTCCCCAGGACCCAGGGCAGTGGGAACGAATGCCTCCCACTAGCAAAGGCCTCTCAGAGGGGAGGTGACTTGCCTGAGTTCACACACCCAGAGAGGGGCTGAGCCGGGAGGTAGGACTTCAACCCCAGACCAGAACCTGTGCTTTCCATCCCCAAGCTATTTAGTGCCCCTAGAGGGACCACAGAAGGGCAGGTGCCGCAAGGGCATCCCAGCCAGATCCCTCCAAGTTGTCCCTCAAGGTGGATGCGGCCCACGTCCTCCCCTGGGACCCTGCTACTAGCAGAGTCCTGACTAGTAACAGTGCCTCACCTTCCTGGAGGAGGTGGCCCCCCCAAACTTCCAACCTTACCTGCCACTCCAGGAGATGGCCCCAGAGCTGCTGAAAGTGATGCAGGGTGAGGCTCTGTCCGTTCTGGGGAGGAGGCAGCTGGTTAAAATCCATATCCCCAGAAGGGGGACAGAGGCCCCAACATCCCCACCCTCCCTACCCAGACACTGCCCCCTTCGTATACCCCGAAACAGCGCAGCAGCTGCTCACAGGTCCTGAGCCCAATCTCGGCAGAGGTCCGGGCAGAGGTCCAGGCGCGGGCCCTGGCTACAGGAAACAGAAAAACCCCAGTACTTCCTGCGTGTTAACTGTCACTGGGATCTGAGCCCAGGCAAGGGGGTTCCAAGTCCCCTCATGGCAGCTACACTCCCTGCCTCCCTTAGAGGAAGGGAAGGCTCATGAGTGGCCGTGGCCTTGGCCCTGAGTCCTGCCACAGGACCCATATGTGGGAAGACACTGTCAGGCTGAGTGCAGGGCTCCCGTGGCCCGATTCCCTGCGGCACCATGGATTAACACACCTAGGGGGCTCCGTGGGGTCCGCCCCCGTCTGCAACTCACCAGGCTCCAGGGCAATACTTAATAAGATCTGGAGCTGAGAGGCGCTGAGTGCTTCCTCCTGGTCAAGGAAAAAGCCAGTGGTGAGGCCACTCACTCAGGCAGCCATTCGACACAGCCCCTCTAGCCTGCTGGGCGGTGCTGGGGACACAGCAGAGACAGAGTGCTCATGGTCCAGGGGGAGAGTGAGAGACACCTGTTCCCAGAGCAGTCAGGGCTGCAGTGGGGAAGCACTGGGCTATGGGAGTCCACAGCCAGCATGCAGCTGACCAGCCTGGGGGAGAATCCCGCAGAGATTCCAAGAAATCCCACAGGAGAAAGACGAGGCCATAGCCAGGGCAGGGGACAAGGAGAAGGCAGTCCAGGCAGAGGCATAGACAGGGCACGGACCCTGAGGCAGGGATGAGCAGTGAGCATTTTGAGGGTAAAGAGGAGATTTAAGCACAGAGAGAAACTAAAGCAAAATGAACCCCCCCCCCAGGATAAGGAAGGGGCCCCAGAGGAGGGGTGGACCCCTATTAGCCCTGGCCTGGCCCCCTCACCTCTCCTGCCAATTCCTGAAACAGCTGCTCCAGCCCCAGTTCCAGGGGCACGTACGGGACCTGTGGGCAGGGGGAGTTCAGTGCAGGCCGATGGGACCCCTCCCCGCCCCTCCCCCCATTCAGGCGGCCCCGCACCATGAGGGCCTGCAGGTCGGCACTGATGACGTCATCAATCTCCCTGCCAATGACAAGGGGCGTCAGGGAGTCGGGGGTGGGGTCCCGGGCCGATCCCCGCGGGGAGGGGTGGTGTCCGGGGGTTCTGGGGCTCCCGCTCAGGGAACCCCGAGGGGGCGGTCTGGGGCACCCCGGCTCACACAACGGTGTGGCGGCGCTCGGAGAAGACACGCAGCGTGAAGTCGGCCTCGTCGCCGGCGTGGGCGGCGCTGGGCACCACCAAGTAGTGGCCGGGGCGCAGGCGGCAGCGGCGGCTCACGTCGCGGCGGGCGCAGAAGGGAGAGCGGTCGGCGCGCAGCAGGCCCGGCAGGAGCTCGCGGCTGCGCGGGGAGTCCCACAGGCCCAGCAGCTGCGGGCAGGGGCGCTGAGCTCCAGCTCCCGCCCACCTGCAGCCGCTCCCGCCCGGCCTCGCCCTCCCCTCTCCGGGGGCCGCGCCCAGTGACCCTGTGCCCGGGGTCCCCACGGAGACCCACCTCCTCTGGGATCTGGAAGAAGCAAGAGCAAGCGAGTGAGGGCCCTCGGCAGTGGCGGCCACCCTTCAGAGCCCCCTCCACAGCTCCCTCGCTTTTCTTCCCCTTCCCCCTGCCCCCCTGTCCCTGACCTGCTAGACCGTCTCCCATTGGTGCCCCCACGGCCCCTCTCTGCTCCGCAGCACCCCCTCCCTGGTCCTCAGCGCCTCGGACTCCCCGCTGCCCTGTGGACGAACCCCCAGCGCTCTCTGCGCCCTCCAGACCGCAGTTTCTCCCTGAACCCCCTCCTCGTTCCCCCAGCTCTCTTGCTCCAGTCTCTGAGCCCCACGCCCCAGGCCTTCCCAGCCCCTTCCGTAGCTCCCTGTCCCAGCTGCTCCCACCCAGCCCCGGGGTCCCACCTGGAACACGTGGAAGCCCACAGTGAGGTAGGTGAGGCCCTGGGCCCTCAGGCGCCGCCGATTACGCTGGATGAGTGACAGAAGGACAGTGCACTTGGGGATGCGTCCCCCCCTGGCCGGGCCCCACGCTCCTGCTGCCCCCCAGCCCCCCCAAGGCCCCTCCTCATTATCATCTTCCTCCTCATCAGGCTCCAGAAGCGTCAGTCGGAACTGGGGGTTGGTCCAGAAGGTTTCTAACAGAGAAGAAAGAAATGGGGTGCCCCGGCCTGCCACAGCCCACCCCCTCCCCTGCCAGGTGCCCTCCAGGCCTCACCGGTGCCAGGCAGGCTCCCGCCGGAGTTGAAACCGCGCACCCAGCGGCCTTGGAAGATGTGGATATGCCAGCCGCCTCCAGCTGGGCTCGGGCCCAGCACCTCCGGGCTCAGTGAGCAGATCTGGACGGTGTTGAAGTGGCGGAGGAAGTCCTTCAGCTCCATCCTGCACAGGGGCCGGTGGTCAGACCCTCCCCAGGGCACCAGTCTCCCAGACATCTCAGGACCCCAGAATGACCCCCAAATCACAATCCCCGAGTTCCCTAATCATCACCAAGTACCCCTCGGTCTGCCAAATAGTACCCTGTCTCCAGAAATGGCCCCCAGATTCCAGCGCCCTCCAACCCCCGCCCCCCACGATTTCTCCAAGTCCCCGGAAATGCCCCATGTATAGTCAAGACCCACACACTCCCCCCACCTATTGTCAAATTGCCTTCAGCCCCAAAATATCAAGACCCTCAGACTTTCAACTGCCAACAAGCATCCTTCAGCCCCTCAGCAGCACCAAACATACAGAAATGCCTCAGATGTCACCAAGCCTCCCCCAATTACCCACCCCCTTCAACACTCCAAAAATTACTGTGCCTCCCAGTTCCCCTAATATTGCTGCTAATCGACTCCCCTAAATAGAGTGCAACCCCAAAGTTACCACCATAAGGACAGTTTCTATGACCCCATTCCCCGTCCCTTCAGGAAGGCCTCACCCCCTCCCTCCGCCCCTTTGGCCTGGCGCTGGTCCAGAGGCAGGCCGGGACCCTGGACCACTCACCAGAACTCGCCATCCTCCTTTTTCACCAGCAGGGCCTCGCGCCACTCTGCCGGGAGCGCGTCCCAGCGCGGGCAGCTGGGGAGACGGGGGTGTGAGGACTGGGCGGGGGGGTCTGAGCCCCTCAGAGACCCGGTTCTCTCCCCCAAATCCATCTTACCTGTCGCTCCAGGCCCCAGTCCACTCCACACGGCCCCATGGGTTCCGAAGCCGCAGCAGCCGCACCTTGGTGAAGCCCAGGGTCACCTGAGGGCAGCATGGTCAGTGGGGGTGGCTCCGGGGCACCCCTGCAGCCCACTCGTGGGGGATACTCACCTTGTACGTGCCGGTGACGGAGTACGCGTGTCCCTTGACCAGCCCATCTTCTGTGCGGTACTCACCCCGATCGCTCTGAGCAGAGGGCACGGGACGGTGAGGCCACGGTGGGGGACGCAAGTATGGCTGCTCTTCTGTGCCCCTCACCTCCCCTCACCCCAGCCTTCTGCCACCAAAGCTCCCAACTGAATGACACGGGGCTCTAAAAGGGCATAGGATTGGTGAGTGAAGGCGAGAGAGGAAGATGGAGACAGGACAAAAATACATGAAGAGAACAGAGACGCAGAACAGGCAGACGGACCAAAAGAGGCAGAGAAACACAAAGGACAGGGAGTCAGTCAGTGAGCATAGGATTAAGCAAAGAAGGAGCGAAGGAATTAGACCAACTCAGTGACCAACTGAGCATATGACTGGGTCGCAGATGAACGCGGGACTCCAGCCGAGCCTGTGGAAATCAATCCTAGGCCTTCTGCTGAAATTCTCAGAAAGAAGCTTTGCCATTTGTTTTAAACCACTGAGGGGTGGTAGGAGGGCCCCTGCAGCTGTGGGGGCCCCTTTTGTGGCCATGAAGGGGATGCCTGCCCAGGAGTGAAGCTAACCCAGAACAAGGAATAGAAAAAACACATTCTCCATATCTGCTAAGCACCCGGATTCAGCTATGCCTGAAGCTTGTTTAATGAGAGCAAATAAATCACCTTTGACTTGCTTGAGTTTGGTGGGTGAGGGGTACTAGCCAGCAATGAACACAGACAGGACACAGGCCACCTCCCCACTGCAGCCCTGACTGCGCTCTGGCCCTGGTGGGGGTCTCTGTGCTAGTCAGGCTCTCACCAGGGCGGTGGCTCCCACGAGGGACTCCTTGGCCAGGGCATGGCGCACAGCAGAGAAGAGCCCTGGGATGTCTTGCCTCAGGTAGAGCACCTCGCCCACGCCGCCTGTGAAGTCCACGAAAGCCTCATTCATGTGGCCACCTCGCATCACCTCATAGGAACCGTGGAGCCTGCAGAAGCAGGTGTCGGGGGAGTGTCTGAGGCCCGCACGAGCATCTCACACACACCCCTGGGACCTGGGGGCCTCTGGCCCAGGGCATGGGGGACGCAGGGATTATCCCTGACACTTGCAGACTCCTGAGGTGGCCTGTCGTTCACTCTGGAAGCCCTTGGAAATCAGGCCTGTGGTCCCTGGGCCACTAGGACCGGGCATTTGGGGGATCACAGGAGAACTCTGTCAGAATTCTGGACATTCCAGGGGCTATCTCTGAAACTCTGAGTCTCCGGGAGATGCCTGCTTTGGGGGTAATCTCTGTGGGGCTTGTCAGGGATTTCAGAGCCTCAGGATGGAGAAAAGCAAAAATCGAAGGTTCCAGCGATTACAGTCATATTTGAGAGGTGTGGGGTGCCTGGTAGGGACTCAGTCAGTTAAGCGCCTGCCTCTTGCTCAGGTCATGAGCTCAGGGTCCTGGGATGGAGCCCCGTGTTGGTCTTCCTGCTCAGCAGGGAGTCTGCTACTCTGTGCTCCCCTGCCCCGGACTTGTTCTCTCGCTCTCCCTCAAATAAATAAATAAAATCTTCTTAAAAATTTGGGAGATGCTTGGGTTTCTCAATGGATCAGGAGAGAGCTTCTGAGATTACAGGCCCCCAAGGGGATAAATCCTGGGTTTAGCGGCTCCGGGGCCTGAGAGATGAGATTTCAGGCTCCTGGACTGTGAATGTCCGTGGGTCTCTAGGAACGTGCCTCTAGGGAGGTGTCTAGGATTTGGAGGGAGGTCTTCAGGGAATGGTGTGGCATTAGGGTCCTGGGCACCGTGACCTGGAACAGGACCCCTGGCAGGGTGTCTAGAGGATTCCAGAAGCTGGGGGTCTCTGGGGTTCCCTTCCAGCTGGGGAGGTGTGCCAGTGGCCTTACTTGGCATAGGCCTTCTCCAGCAGCGGGGCCCAGAACTCATTCCGCTGATGCGAGCGCACGAACATCAGCTTCCCTTCACGTACCGGCAGCCTGTCGTCCACCACGACGTCCACCCAGCGGCCAAACTGCCAGAGCTGGTGAGAGGAGGGCAGGGCGCAGGCTTGGCTCCCATCTCGCAACCGTGCCTGGACCTCATCCTCTGACCCCCAGCCCTACTGCACCAGTCTAAGAATTACAGCCCCCAGGCAACCAAGCCAACTAGGAGATCCGTGGTCCCATGGGGGATATGGAGGCACAAACTAAGGATCTTTACCTGAAAATGGAAGACACCTGCATAGTTATCTTGGAAACCCTGTCCAGGGGGGACCACCCGGCACAGGAGTCGGGGATACAGAGTGAGGGAGGCAGCGGCCGCAAGAAACCAGCAGTTACCTGGGAGGAAAGCCAAGGACGGGGTGAGGATGGAAAGGGGGAGACTGAGGTCTCCCCTGGGGAGAGGAGAGTCTGAGGGGTGGACCCAGGGGCCGAGCTGCAGGAGCCCAGCTACAGCCTCTGCAAGATCTGGGAGCCCCGGATGAATTCGGGGGTCTTACCTAGGCGCCCCTGACACACGTCTGTTCGGCTCATGTCCTCACAGATGAACTGGGGCTCAGCGCAAAACTCCTGGGGGAAATGGGGGGAGTCCAGGCCTCAGCCAGGAAAGGGAGAGAAGGAGCGACTGAGAGGTCCAATGCCTGGGTCCCCTCCTGCCCTCACTGCTCCAGAGTAATGAGCACCTCTAACCCCAAAAGAGGCTTGTAAAGCCTGTGGGCAGGCATCTGGGCCTCTCCAGACCCCACAGTCAGAACTCCCAGCCCTCCTCTTCACATCCAGGCCCCCAGTCCCCTCCTCCCTCAGACCCAGGAGCCCAGCATCCCCCAGCCCCTCCTCCATCAGACCCAGGAGCCCAGCCCCCCAGCCCCTCCTCCCTCAGACCCAGGGCCCAAGCCCCCCACAGCCCCCTTCCTTCCTCAGACCCAGGAGCCCAGCCCCTACAGCCCCCAGCCACACATTACATGGGGTCTCTTCCATTCCACCCCTTTCGCCTTCTCTGAGTCTGGCCCCAGCTCATCGTAGCCAAGGGCATCAGGGCCAGCAGGGAAGTAGGGATCTCGGAACAGGATCCCCTCCTCTAGGCAGGCTGCTCGGATGGCCTCGAATCTCTGGCCCCGAAAGGGCTTTGGGCCTCTGGTTCCGGGCCCTGACTCTTCGTCCACCAGCTGGATGGTGACCCGTCCGCTGCCACACGCCATCTGGACAGTCTGTACTCAGAGGCTGGCCCCAGGCTCTTTAACCTCCTGACTCACGGGGGCGGGGCTTCCCCTCCAGCTGAGCCCCAATGGGGGGTCTTTAGGCCATGGGGAGCTGGCCCTTGTTAATACTAATTGATGGTTTGGGGTGCCACGGAGCAGGGGACGCCTCTGCGGTGGTTTCCTGCCCAGGGCGTGGGGCCTTCAGTTGTGGCCAGGGTGGAAGCTTAATGGGCTTGGCCCACAGCAAGAGGGAAGGCGGGCAGAGCTGAGGGAGGACCGGCTAACCCTGAGAGAGGGCCTGGAAGGAGGTCAGTGTGGGGGCGTGTTTCTGCCATCTTGCCCCTGCCTCTCCCTCTGCGGGGTTGGGGGTGTGAGGGGCAGGGAAGGGCAGCACACCGACCCTGTGTCTCCATCTCTCCCTGTCTCTCCATCTGCCAGTTTCTCTCTCTCCCATCGTGTCTATTTCTGCCTCCATCTCTGTCCATCTCTCTCGTCTCCTTTTGTCTTCCCCTGGTGTGTTTTGGTCTTTCTGTGTGGCTGTCTCTCTCTGCCCATGCCTCCCTGTCCTTCCCTCTGCACCCTTTTCCCTGCCCTGTAGCTGCTCAGTCCCCCGGGGCCCCTGGGGCTCACTCCTCCTGAGCCACCAGGACCCTGTCTCTCCCCTTCCCCGACAAAGCGGACCTCAGCCTGCTCACCTCACACAGGGCTGACTATGGACGATCCACTCTGCTCCTACTGGCCCTGGGTTGGGAGCCAGTCCCACCAGTGACCATGACCCCGACCTTAGCCCCACGAAGCTCGGGGTCCAGTGGAGCAGTGTTTCCCCCAGAGGAAGAAGGAGCCATTGGAAGAAACGTTAGAAGTAGGTTCTGAGAGGCCAGAAACTCACCAGTTTGGGTCCCAGCAGACTTCCATCCTCCAGGGATGGGGGTGGGGGGTGTCTCCTGCACGGACAGAACCGTGTCACCTCTGTGGCAAGGGACGGTACTGAGTCCTCTGGTGTCCTTCCCTCCAAACAGATCAACAGATAATGTCTAAGCCCCCAGCTGTGTGAAAACAAGATGTCTTCTTGTAGAAGTGCCCAGGCCACCCCCAGCCCTCCACCCCTGTCATGTGAGTTAGGTGACAGTGGTTTGGAGCATCTGCCAAGGTAGGAGCCGAAGGGCCAGGGTTCAAATCTAGGCTCTGCCACTTAGCACCGTGTGTCTTGGGCAAGTCACTTAAGCTCTCTGCACCTCAGTTTCCTCATCTCTACAGCGGGAGCAGTAACAGGACTGACCTCAGCGCGTTGTTGGGAGAATCGAACAAGTTAATCTGTGGGACAGGTTCCGAGCAGCACTGGTGCTCAGTAAACATGAGCTGCTGGGACTACGTCTGGGGGCCCATCCCCCAGACTGTGACAGATCACCTCTGGCTGCTGCTTCTGCCATTTCCACAACCACTCCTGCCACCCTGCTCCACACATTTCCCACCTGTTGAGGTCACAGCCCTCTCCCCTCTACCGGGGATTGATTGAATAAAACCTGCTTGACATCTCGCAGTGAGCAGGAAACAACTCACTGTGATCCCAGACCATTCCACTGCCACCCGGCGGCCCTTCTTGGCCTTCGTTGGCAGGTCTCGGCTGGCTGCTGCTCGTCCTAGCTTCCGGACACCTGCCTTGTCGCCAGGCTCTGGTCACATCCCACAAACAAGAGTTCTCTTGATCTCTTCCCACGTGTCTTACACCCAGGGTACAAATAAGCTTGTCTTCCTGGACCAACCTAAGAAAAATGCACTGATGCCGGCGTAGTGGAAGTCTGTTGCTTTGTGAGCCCAGCACCCCCTACCTCTTCCTCTGGAATCAGAACTCCCATTATGTTTTGGGGATCCACGGATCCCTTATTCTCAAGCTCTGAGGCTCCTGGAGGGCTGGCCCCGCCCCCTGACTCCGGGGCGGAGAGTTTGACCCAAACCAGCCAATCAGAGAAGCGCATTCATGGCCACGCCCCTTACCTGTTCATCCCCGGGGACTCAAGGCAGGGCTTCTCTTTCCCTGGGACCCCTAGGCTGGTGGAACGAAAACCCGAAGCGGCCAGACTCAATCTTGAACCTTGGCAACCTTGTCGGGAGACCGGCCAGAGAACCGCTGAGCGAAGCAGCGCCAGGCCACGCAGAGAGAAAGATTCCCATGAGCATATAGAATCCTTCGATCCGGATGCGCTAGAAACCAGACGGACATTAAAGGAGCCAACAAATTCTCCTCCTCTCTTTTTCCCAGTTTCAGTTTCCACTTAATTGTCTTTTTTTGTCACTAGCAACCAAAAGAAACCTTCCAATTTGGCTGGCATGATTTCTGCAACTGTGCACCAGCCGGAATGTGCTGGACATCAGCTTCCTGGGGAGTAGGAGACCCCACACAGCCGTGGAGTTAAGGAGTCAGGTGCCAATTTACTCTGGGTCTACCCCCACCCCCACCCCCACCGAACCCCGCCACGCCTCCTCACCTAATCCGCAAAGTAGAGAGTGTTCCTGCTTCATCAAGTTAAGGCTGCCCCTGAGCCATTTAAAAAAAAAAAAAAAAAAAGCAAAACTACCTAAAACACTATCATGAGGGGCACGTGGGTGGCTCAGTCAGCTGAGCGGCAGACTCTTGATTTCAGCTCAGCTCCTGATCTCGGGGTTGTGGGACGGAGCCCCATGTGGGCTTTAGGTTCAGCGGGGAGTCCGCTTCCCTCCCTCACCCGCTCTTGCACACTCTCTCTAATAAATAAGTAAAATAAATTAAATTAATTAAATCAATAAATAAATAAATAAAAAGAAAACACTATCATGAAAATGAAAAGCCCCACTCCTGCGGACAGCAGATACCTTACACAGGTAATATAGAGCAAACGCTTGCTACTTACGGAACATTTTGCACCAGCCTCCGAGCTTGGCGCTTCACAAATAGCTAATCTTGACGTAAACTTTGAGGGACGTCAGTCAGCTCTAGCTGCTGGGGGAATTACCACGGCTGGGGGCAGCATTTATGTATGAAGGGCTGGAGCCCGAGACTCCCAGATCAGGGAGTCAGGTTCTGGTTAGGTTCTGGTGGGAGCGCTCTTCCAGGCTGGCCAGCGGCCTCCTTCGTGCTGCGTGCGCCTTCCCGAGGCGGAGAGAGTCAGCTGCGAACGGGAGTTCCGGTGTCTCTTCCTCTGCTTCCAAAGGCCCCATCTTGAGGGGGAGGGGAGGTCCCGCCCTCAAGGACTCACGCCAACCTAATCTCCTCCTTAAAGGCCCCTGTCTTAAAACCATCATATGGTGGGGGCGGGGGGGGGCGGTTAGGGCTTCAACATAGGAATTCTCTGGGCGGGGACACAAAGAGCGATAAGGTTTACAGACGAGAAGGCAGAGGCACAGAGGAGTGGGGTGCTTTTCCTGGGCTCTCACAGTTCCAGAATCAGGATTTGAACTTGATGGTCTGGCTCACTGGTTATACTATATGGCCTCTCAAAAGATTAGTATTCAGAATATATAAAGAGCTCCGAGGGCGCCTGGGTGGCTCAGTGGGTTAAAGCCTCTGCCTTTGGCTCAGGTCACGATCCCAGAGTCCTGGGATCGAGCCCCACATCGGGCTCTCTGCTCAGTGGGGAGCCTGCTTCCTCCTCTCTCTGCCTGCCTCTCCACCTAATTGTGATCTCTGTCTGTCAAATAAATAAATAAAATCTTAAAAAAAAAAAGCTCCAATAAAGAAACCACCGCTGACTCAATAAAAAGTGGGCAGAAGACATGAATAAGCAATCACGGAATCAGTGTCCAATAAGTGTATGAAAACCTGCTCCTAATTAAGACTAGCTGGGTGGCTCAGCGGCTTAAGCCTCTGTCTTCAGCTCAGGTCATGATCTCAGGATCCTGGGATCGATCCCCGCATTGGGCTCTCTGCTCGGCGGCGATTCTGCTTCCTCCTCTCTCTCTGCCTACTTGTCATCTCTCTCTCTGTGTCAAATAAATAAATAAAATCTTTTTTAACAACAACACCTGAAATACCACCACGCCCTCGACAGTAGGACCAAGGTTAAGAAGCCTGAAAATACCGAGTGTTGGCAAGAACGGGGAGCAAGAAACACAGACGCAGAGTTGTAACTTGGTACACTTCGGAAGACGAACTGGCATTCCTTGGTAAGTGCCTACCCATGGCACAGCGATTCCACTCCCAGCTACGGGTATACTAAAGAAATGCATGGGAGCACCTGGGAGGCTCAGTCAGTTAAGCTTTCGACTCGATTTTTGCTCCGGTTCTGATGTAATGGGTCATGAGATCAACCTTGCGTCAGGCTCGGTGCTCAACATGGAGTCTGCTTTGGATTCTCTCCCTCCTTCTCTCTTTGTCCCTCCCGCCACTTGATCTCTCTCTCAAATAAATAAATAAATCTTTTTTAAAAAAGAAAGAAATGGATGTACACTTGTCCCAGGAGACATGTGCAAAAATGTTCATAGCTGCATGGTTTGTAATAGAAAAAAAAAAAAGAACAAAGAACAAAACAAAATGAAAACAACTCAGATACCCACTGTCAACAAAGTGAAAAAGTCATGCTATATTCATACAAGGGAAGACTACACAGGAGCGGATATTGGGTGAACTGCAGTTACAACATGGATGAATCTTGGAAATGTACACGGAATGAAAAAGCAATCTCAGGTGTGCCAGGGTGGCTAAGTTGTTAAGCATCTGCCTATGGCTGAGGTCATGATCCCAGGGTCCTGGGATCAAATCCCCTATTGGGCTCTTTGCTTGGTGGGGAGCTGCTTCTCCCTCTGCCTGCAGCTCCCCTTGCTTGTGCTCTCTTTCTCTGACAAATAAATAAAATCTTTAAAAAGAAAGAAAAGGGGCACCTGGGTGGCTCAGTGGGTTAAGCCTCTGCCTTCAGCTCAGGTCATGATTTCAGGGTCCTGGGATCGAGCCCTGCATTGGGCTCTCTGCTCAGCGGGGGGCCTGCTTCCCTTCCTCTATCTCTATCTGCCTGTCTGCCTACTTGTGA